CGGAAGTCGACACAGAATCGGTACTTCCCATTCGTCTTCTTCACTAAGACCACAGGAGAGTTGTACGGGCTATGTGCCTCCTCAATCACGCCCGCGTTCAGCATTTCCTGCACTTGCCTGTTCACTTCCGCCCCCAGATGGATTGGTATACTTCGAGGTCCAGGGGGCCGAAACGGTTGGCGAGTTAGCGGGATGGTGTGCTCGATCCAATCGCAAAACCCATATTGGCTGCTGTCATTCGTAAAAATAGGTTGGTATTTGTTGATCAGCGACTGCAAAGATGGGCTCAAATGTAACACAGCAACGACCGACTGCGAAGATCTCATTTCTCCACGATTAATGAGTGGTAGTGACCCGCATTCCATTAGCAACTTCCCACGTTTTCGATCAACGACAGCTTTATTGAGCTGCAGGAAATCTGCTCCCAATATGGTTTGTTTCGCATCTGGTGACAAGAGAAAGAAGTGTGTTCGCTTTCGTCCCCCGATTCCCACGGTGTGTTCGGCTATCCCATCAATTCCCACTGAATGACCGCCAACCGCTCTTACGATCGTGCGGCACGACTGAAGCTTTTCACCTCGCCAATGATTGATTAGTGACACCGCGGCACCCGTATCGATCAGACACCTTTCCATCGTTCCGTCTACTTCCACGTTCTCATGAGGCTCTTGCTTCAGCGCAGCTAGTGGCGCGTCGCCCAGGTCTCGAGTAACTTGCGCCAACTCCTCCAATTGCATCTTCCGAGTAGCATTCGCAATCCGAACGCGATTCGCGATTGGCTTTGGGTGGCTGGCCAAAAGCTGATCCACCAGCAACTGCATCTTTGACGGCCCATCCAACCCCGGTAAGGCGCGGTCCAACAAGCTCCTGAGGTGCACCGCAAACACGAGGGGATCCGTCCCAACAGCAAGCCGCGACGCTTTGAACCGTCGCATCGCCTCCTGGCGGTCCCCTTTCGTGTCCAGGCCAGAGAGCAACGCTTCATTCGCGGTCCTCCACTCCAACTTCACCGGACCTCTTCGCACCGCCTCCAGAACGGCCTTCGCCCTGTCCTTGAGGAGACTCCACAGGGCCGCCATCTTCGCCCGATCCGTCTTCAGTCCTACCGCCTCTGCCACCTCCTCGAATTCCTCCAAAAACGCCTTCACATCCCCGTCTTCAAATGGTTCCGGACAGGGAATCTTCATGACTTGCGAGGTCACGGCACCAAATGTTACAACCCAAGGGGCAGGCGGTAAGTTGTTTATTGCTAAAGTGGCTTACACTAGGTGTGTTCGTTCATACCCTGGAGGCGTCCGCTCATCTGCGTGATCTACATGGAGTGTTCCCCAACTGGTGCTTGCCTCTGTGTTCACTCCTCGTGCGCAAGGAACTGTAATCCTGATGTCATCTTCAACTTTGGGGAAGTCGGCAGGGCTCGCTGTTGGTGTGTCATCTTGCCCCACCACACCACTTATAAGTAGCATCTACCTTTAACCCACCACAATATAAACCCACATTAATTGTCTCAAAATTCTTGTACACTGAACAATTAACAATGATTTATCACGGGTAGAAATGCATGTGCATGACAAGTCCCGTAGGATGATTGGAGTAAAATTTGAAATTGAAATGATCATCGAATAAGCAAATCGTTATTTCAAGCGTCTTTGATTTAAATGCACTATTGCATAACGATAGTTGGAAGTGGGAATGGGATATGCACTCACAAAATAGTCTAAAGTGCCGTTATATTTCAGTAAATGCGTGCGAAAAAAGGAAACAACAATGTTCACTTGTGTGTTGTTTCATTTGACAGATATGCTGTGTTAATCCAGTTTAGATACATCCAAGCTTCTCACAGAGGCACTTCTGCTTGTATCCTCACTCCACATTGTAGGGGGCCGCTAAACACATGGTTAGGCTTGCGCTGTTTCGTCCTCCACGTGGACCGGCGTATATCAAGTAATGCACGTTGGAAAGGGTTTCCTCAAGGTGTTTTTGATTATCGTTAATGTAGGGATAAGGATAACGTGAGTCGGAAGGCCATTCCGGACACGGGACACACGGAGGGAGAAAACGTTTCATCGACAATCAAGTCGACTTTAGTGCGTAGCCAGTTTGAGTTGATGGCCTCTCATGTTTGTATTTTGGCTCAGCTGCAACAGATTCCGACATGGGCGAGTTGGCTTCGTCAATAATAAGTAAACCATGATTAGGTCTCCTCGCTGACGTCGATATTCACTACTGTACAATCTCAGGGGCTGCAATCTGTGTTGGTATGTGAGATGTAACAATCCTGTAACGAAGTTGGTTGATCCATGTTGTGGAGCATCAAGTGCATCGATGTCGCACTTGCGCCAGGGACGCCAGGCCTGGATCGCATATTCCACGTAGGCGTTCAACATTTGCGGGAAGATTGCTAGCTCAAAATTCCCGAAAGCCCTCAGCAACAGTCCAAGTTTTTGACTGCCTGTTTTTGATGCTGGATCTATGCCTAGAATATTATCGGGTTCCTGAAAAGATACCAGTTTACTTAAACTGGTTTGATTCCATCTGGTCTGGGTTACTTTGGTTTAAACCCTCTTAGTGCAGCATCGTAGTTCCCTTGTCCAAAACAACTAAGATGTTTCCGTATTGACGCTTGACTTACACTATATTCTGGTACCACGCACTTGTCTCGGCAAGAAATGTGTGCCGCTTTTTCATTGATTTCAGTTGTATTTAAAATACACGCCTTTGCGTAAGTTTTTGGTTTATTACTCCGACACGTTTGATCTATTGTATCCCATAATTTACTTCATAGGGAAATAAGAATGAAACAGAATTTATGCAGTACTACTTTCCAGTGAATAGAACAGATTCGGTTTAATGGATTAATGCCACTACCGTTGTGTAAAATATGGCTCGCAACCATTTTGGCTGAAAACCTGTGATCTTACCGCTTAGTTGTTGTGGCTTTTGAAATCAGCACCTCTGGCATCACCATACACAAGATTGAACTCAAATGTCCCTAGTTGCGCTGGTGTCGTGTCATTAAATAAATACAAACAGTATTGCAGCTTACATCTGCCTTTATTTAACACAGTAATTAGAATCGATCACGTAACCAGGAAACGGGTAGAAAATTGGCGAGTCAAGCTATTTAGACGGGAGTAGAGGAAAAGCCAATAGCTTACTTGGATGCTGTTTGCGCTGTGTGGATAGGATTTTGATTCATCGCTTGTAAACATATTCCGTAACTTACTACATCAAAGCTTTCAGCGAGTTAACCCAGTTTGTGTCAATTTTACCAGTTTTGCTATCACTGGTAACTTACGTCTCTAGAACCCGCAGTCACTGTGTATTAACCATTTGCCTATGACAAACCATTGGGCGAAATCATATAACTGCTGAGAGACAATGTAACATTCATTTGAATGTTTGGTACTAGAAGGCTGGAACTGTCTCCGTAACCAACATTGAACAAGCGGAAAAATGTTCCGTTTGTTGCACAAAGCAAGTGGTGCTATTAATCGTTAAGTTAACACAGGTCTTCAAAGCGCCAAGTTAAATATTGAGGCTTCTTAACTACCTGCGATACGTTAAGAGGGATAAATAAGACATAAACGTTTACACTGTAGTTATCAATGCATTTAGACTTCCATGTTATAACGGTATTCATAAGGTTGTTTAATATACTTAATCACTATGAGTGTTTCTCACTCGGTTGAATGTGTAGTTGTTTTTGATCTGGTTGAATTTCATGGCTAGATCATAGTAGATTTACCTGGCGTAGTAATGTCTTCAGTTTGTACAGGTGGTTAGATATTACTTTCAGCCTTTGACATACATCAGTTTACAAAAGTGGCTAGTAAGTTTTATTTTTGATTGTGTTTTCTTTGGAAAAAAACGGTCACATTTTCTTACACAATGTTGTTGTGTTATGGTAAAAAAAGCAAAACACCCCGAAATATGTGCTAATAAATATCATGGCATCTACAAGTATGAGTGATCTATGAATGAACTAAGCTGTGTGAATAGACGACAAAATGGAATCAGTAGTACACCTGTACGCAATATCGACGCTTCGCTGCCGCGAAACCAACACCGGTCCCACGTGGACTAGAGGTTATTGCGAGGGTCGCGCTTACGCAACGCAGGCGCGCACCCGCGCCGTTACTTTGCAAGACAAGCTGGTTAACTTTAGGCTAGGGGCCGTCAATTAAAGAGTCATCCAGCTATTAGAATGGGTGCATGATCTGAAGGGATTGATTCCATTAACTTGCATTTAGGATGTTCCCTTTTTAATACTGCAAGGAATTCGGGAGGCAAAGCAACCTTTTCACACTCTAAAGGAAATAGCTTAATTTGTTTAACATTATCGGCTGCTTAATTGCAGTGTAGTAAACTGTGGTATATTACCTTGTATGAGTATTCCCGGCATGCGGTTGCAGCTCATGGAATCCCAATGTACCGTGATTTTTCAGTGGTAAGACATTAGATATGTTTTAATCAGCATTCCTGAAAGTCTTCACCATTTCTATGATGTTGTTATTTTATCCAGTTATAGATTTTGAAGTTCTGTTATTGTTTTTAGGCGGCTAGGAAGCATCGATTGTTCAATGATTATTCCCAATAAGATTGAAACGTAATTTGCACAGGTTTTGTCTTTTAAACAAAACAGCGCTAACATTCAATATACTAGAGCAATGCTTCAGCAGGACTTATTTAACTGAACAAACAAGCAACATCTTTACATTAATTGCTTGTACGTAAAGCGACATCAAACACAATGTTGTAACAAATAAAGTATGGACGTTATAAGTTACATCTCTTTCTGTATCAGCTTTTTTAATTAATATACTTTCAAGTGAAAGTTAACGTTATGTAAACTATTGATCCGACGCAATATTAGTCTTCTGACATGCATTAGGCTGGTGCCTTCGTTTCTATACACAATACGATTGCTGTGTGCATTACAATTTCTGCGAAATTAAACAGGTCAGTTTTAATAAATTTTCATGAACATTAACTTTCAGACTGTTGGAACAGGTTAGATGGGAAACTTGGTTTCTCCAAAAAAGAAACTGTGTAAAGAAGATCTGATATTTCTCAAGGAAAACACCCACTTCTCAAAGAAACAGATAAAACAGTGGTACAACGGATTTATTGTGAGTTTTGTACTTTGCTTGCAGTCTATGACTACAATGATGCAGGACAGGAAGATTCATCAGTTTTAATCATGGTTCCGGTTATGCTCTGGGTCTTTAATTTAATCTTCTTCAGTAAGCTTACAATGAATTTCTGTGAGCGTTTTCCTAAACATTTTGTTTGCACTGGAATATGTATGCAAATTTTGTCTGCTTATGCCACGACTGCATAAAGCAACAGCATAAATTAGTAAAAAACGAACAAGACAATAAATAATTTTGTCAGTTTAGTCTGCCAGTTAAATGGGTCTGTTAAGTGTCAGCCAATCAAGCTTTTGTGTTGAGTACACGGATTAGAGCAGCTTTTTTATGACATAGCGCATAAGTAATAATGGAGTAAAATGGAAGAATACTGGGTGTTACCTGCTCACCGTCCAACACTCCATGACCCGATACGGACTCGTTTGCATCCAACATGTGGGAATGGAACGGACACTGGACCTATTGATGTAATCTAAAAATTCTGCTGCAAACCCAATCATTAAGGATGACAGCGACTGTCGTAACTGTTGCTGACTGGTTAAGGGGAATATTTTGAGTCATAGTTTTTGAGTGTCTTACGACGCGTAGTCTTAATCTGGACCGTACATCAATTTGGGAAGAAAGCATCAATCAGCTCACTGAATCGAATGAAGGATGGAAGCCAATCGCTTACAATAATAGGTACAATAAATAAATGATAAATATTTGACTTTAGGTGACGGCCCAGGTTGTTGGTCCGACAAAATCGTGCGAGCGGATCAGAAAATATGTGACGATTTCATTAAGTAGATAAAGTACGCGTGACTTCGATTTGGCTGGGCCCGTTTACTTTAATATGCTGGGTCCTTCACACGACAAGCACTCTACCAATTATATGTTGGTTAATAGTTTGCAAAGGTATCAGAAAGTAGAGGTTTTGTACCAGTGACATACTGGCATGGACTTGTCCCTTAATGTAGTCCTTCATTGCAGTAGAGTTGGATGTGTTTAATAATGAGCAAAGCGCTGTATGTGAGAGCGAACTGCGCTAGAAGAAATGTTGTTCCCTACGCAGAGATATCAAATCCCAGCACTATTTTTTGGAAACAAGACGCCATGCAGCCAGACGTATTCGAAACTTTTTCCATAGCACTTGACAAGTCTCAGGGAAGTGGACAGATTGGAAAAATAGAACAGTGAAGAGGACTGCCAACTTGATATCAGTTGATCAAGCCTCTGATTCAAAAGATCGTCGAAATACTTTCTAATATTTGAGAACCCGTTCAGGATCTGTAGTCGGTAACTGGATTAAGAAGGCACAAAACTAATTACCTAATAAATTTACGTTTTATTTTTCCCCTTTGCAGCTATGCGTATCGACTACAAAATTGACAGTGAGTACTATCGGAACAAACGATCTCGTAGATGATCCGAAAAGAACAATATAATAGTCGTCGGGTAGGGAAGCAGGACTATATGACTGTCCTTCTCTCATAAGCTTTTGTGGATATGAAAGCCGTGTGATAGTTACGGCCGGTTAAGGAGACCATACAACAGGGGGTTTATGAGTGAAAACAAAAAAACTGGTTCTACTATCCGTCATTGACTTTTATATAAACCTAAATCCCTTCACGGCAGGGTGATCGTATACGGAAAGAATAGAAAATTTGTCAGATGCATGAAGTTGAGGACTCGATTTAAGGCCCCTCTTTAGCCTTAACTTAAAGTGGTGGCTTGAGGTTGGCGTAACCGGGTAAGGATATAGTGTAATAACATTTGGAATGGTGTGCATGTGAATTCCGGCTGTTTACTCTAGTTGGCTTTTGTGCACCAAGTGAAACTTTAAGTCTACCTCTTTAAGGTATTAGGGGCACGACGATTTAAGTTATTTAGTCCCTTAGAATAAGCTTCTGTCATTGCACTATTTAGCTTGAAGAGTTTCACAGCTTTTGCGACTATGAGGATTATATCTATCTGTACGCCGAAGTTATGACAAGACATGCGCGACCTGTTGGAGGGTAGGAGACAACTTCAAATCAATGCATATTTGATTAAAAAATGATTTGCTTGTATGTTGATGAGGACACTGAAATTAGCAGTGTGCATTTTTTATTACAAATAGAGTAGCGGCCTGTATGATGCTTCTAAGGGAGAATATCTATGTGTATGAATTTACCCAAGATTTACGTCTAAAAAGAGCAATATGTTTTTCTTAAGCCTACGCAGCCGTAAATGGTGTATCATGAGCAATTTGCGCAGCGTTCAGTATATGTACGACTCTGAGTAGCACGCAGAATCAATCGCATGAACGAGTAGTGTCGAACTGCCTTGCAATACCTGACACCATAGAGCAATACTATAACATGGGGCATTGGCAGTTCTTTTACAGTATAAGTGTGGAACTTTTCAAATGAAAAACTTTAAGAAACAATTCAATGTTTTATTATCTGTAACGATGGTTTATTTTACATGTTTAGAGTATTTAACGCTTTTGGCATATTGAAGCGCTGTATCTTACATGGTTAGAATGTGCATGAGCCTTAACGAAGAATGTTAGCTGTCGAACATAACTTTCGAATAAACGATCGAAACAGTGCTTAGAAGATACAGGTCGGCAGTTACACAGCATGCTCTCACGCGCTATAGACATTAATTTTATTTGAGTAAAGCAGACGCTATTACTGCCAACATGGTACACATCCATGGGATCAGTAAATCATTATATTTCATTTATCCACGACGAATTTCTTGGTTTATGCTTATGCCAGTAACAGAATAGATATGCAAAAACTGAGAGAAGAAAGGCGTCAAGATTTTATATTATTGCAATCTTCCTGTCAAATTTGTGGCTTATTGACTGAATGTGTCCTTCATTTTGGTTGTTATGAAAAGCTGCATATGAAGTAACCTGTACACAAATTGTCAAGCCGAGCAGCGCATATTGTTCTAAATGTTACATGGCGTAGTTGCCCTACGCAAAAGTTTCATGCGCATATCAAGGCTGAAAATCCATAATTCCGTTAGCTGGTGGCAAGCAATACATAGACAGTTATAGGAAAAGTATTTGTACCTTCTTGGAGCGGATAGTTATCTAGGGTTTTATTCTCAAAATGGGACTAGTGTATGCAATATGCGAAGTATTTCCTTTAGCTTTATTTGGGCTGTTGTCCAGTTGAACGTCAAACGGTTCAAAGCATCTAATTATTACACTGCAAGGGCCTGTCATGAATTTCCTCATTTCAGTGCAATCTTGTTTAGAGTCTGAAACATTTGAAAAGTCACTTGTTTTGTACACACGCTGGTTATCATGACTAAAATATATGTTCTTAATTAACTAAAAAATTACTAGAGTTGTTGCTTGGCTAACATCTAGATGTTAACAAAGGCCTTTGCAATATGATTACAACCGAAGGTATACTCTGAACATTAGTTGCTCATACATATTAAACTATCATAATCAAGTGTCATTATTACACTGATCACGTTGTTCAGAAGGAAGCCCTGTTCGATTGTACCCTATAGTTAAAATAATTCTATACCTGAATTGAAGAATGCATGCTTGTCCCGGTTCGACTGATGAGGTCGATAACACGACTGTCCCAGTTAGAAAACAGAAAAGTAATTTGGCTCTTTGAAGTGATCCAAGAGGAAACATTTAGTGCGGTATCGAAACTCGTATATTATGTATGCTGGCTGTATTAATCAATTAAGATGAACCATAATCCCGTTTTTTTTAGTAAACGGTGATGATTCTGAAGATACATCGTATCCCAACGACTGCTGAAGTACTTTATTAATTAACTGGGAAATCTAATCTTAGCGATCGTCAGAACTGGGTTGAAACTAGAATTAAATGTTCTTGTTTAGCCGATAGAGATTCTTGGCTGGGAGACATAAAGTTAAAAGCTGGTCAACTAAATTTTACTGAAATCTAATGGTTATAAGGTGTATGAGTTAATGAGAGAAATTGCGAAGGTCACGATGTTGGTAGCATGAACAGAAGAGCTCTTCACAAAAGGCAGTTAATATTCCCACTTGATTCTAATGCATGAACATATCTGACAGTGACTAAAATCTACTGGGCAATGAGGGTGGCCATAAGATTACTCTGCTCACAAATAACAACTGTTTAAGAATTAACCGTGAATGTGACACTGTAGAAAAACATGATATATTAACCATAGATGTAATAGTAATCAAATAACTCATGGATACAGAAACATGATAAAATTTTCAGTTGAAACTAAATGCTAATACTTTTGTCCTTCTTTAAACGGCATACGTACAAACACCGAATATACGTATTTTAAAATGCGTTTACCAAAAGTAGGTGTACCGTGATCCCTGACATGGGAAATCCAAATCCCCAAGTCTTACTCACGGATGTGTTGGATAAGCATCACGAAATAGACGGTGTAGGCTTACGAACATTTTGCCAGTTTTATCCAACAAGACTTGTTTTTGTCGTACCAGCTTTGCAGAATACGGTACTGCCTATTGTTTTCCAACTATCTTGCGTACCCGACTGAGATACACGGCTCCAAAAATTTTGCAACACGTAGGGTAGTTAGATAAATATCGTACACGACAAAGCATGATGTTTTCTCTCAGGGATAATGAATGTATTATTTTACGCCCTAAAGACATGGATGCAGCAAAGGAATTGAGCTTTGGTTGTTTGGAATATTCATGATAATTTACTAACCAAAAAGTAGCAGTGTAAATCAACAGACATTGACCAATACTTGATGCTCGTAGTCATCGGTGCTTTCGTGATTTTTTAGTAAATCATCACGGGGAAAGCTTGATGTCCAACATTTTCATAGCTCGTTAGTCACAATCAAATATATTCAAATTGGAAAATGGTAAGAAAGTTTGATTCCAATGTTTTGTTCTTCGGTTGCTGCTTAAATGTCGCCTTACATCGCCCAGAGTTTGCGCTACAAAAGTTTACTCTATGCTTAACAAAGCACTGTGGGGAAAATAACACTAGAAATAAAACTGATATTTCAGAACTATCAGTGGCGTGAACGCTTTCAGATCCACTCTACCCAGTAAAAGTCATCACAGAAATGGGCTTATAATACAGCTTAAACATCATCTACCTTCCATCGGAACACACTAAATTGTTTCGAATACAGGCTTCTTGTAGGCTAAATTTTAATAACATTTTGCTTCGAAGAATATGCAGTGCATCTGCGCTCCCATGAGCCTCACCCATTCGCTTGTGAAAATATACACAAAGCACTCGGATAGTTAAATTATTGTCAGTAAACATCATAGACATTTTGGTATGATCAAATAAATTGAAATACCATTAGGTTTTCAATGTGGTCGACAATTTTATCCGACAAAGTCATCGACGTTCCTTTTTGCTTTACCAATTCATTCCGAATTCACTGTTTTCGAACAAGTGGCAGCATCCTTGGCAAAATCCACAGATATCAATGGCCAGAAATTCAAAGAGTACTTTTGTTGTAGTACAAATCGATCACCTGATACTATGAACACAATTATAAAAACTACAAGCAAGTACACATATATATAAATCCGTTAAGAACGCTAGTTTTCTCATGGTCTTCTCTTGGTGACCACTGAGAATCCATAGAGCCTGCGCGGTTTACTGAGGAACCTTGTCGTCTATGGTTCTGGAATTGAGTGTAAACATATAAGTTGTCTTATTTAGACTGATGTATACTATAATTCTAATTATAAGTATTCAGCGATCCAGCGGAGCCTTCGAAGAGTAAGTTGAGGCACACCTGTTAGTCCAATGTTTGCAACCGACAACGACTAGTATTTCAAATAATTAAGCAAGTTGGAACAATGCAGTGAATTTTAAACTTTACGCCTACTTCCATCATTAAAGCTGACACTTTCCTTAAATTGTCCTTGATGATGTTGCCTGGTTTTTAGTGTCAAAGACGTAAACTGGTCTAAAACTATATTGCCTTCTAAGATACGTTCGTTTTCATTTTATTTAGCGCGACTGCCCCTCAGGCCAACTCAGTAAAAAGAAGTTCATTGAAGTGTACTCCGGATTTTTTCCGGATGGCAACGCGGAAGAATTTTGCACACATGTGTTCCGGACGTTTGATAAAGATAACTCAGGACGGATTGATTTCAAAGAATTTTTGTTGGCTATCAACATCACATCTGGTGGAGACCCTGAAGAGAAATTAGAATGGGCCTATCAAATGTATGACATCGATGGAAACGGAACAATTGAAAGAACCGAAATGGTCGAAATAATAAGAGTAAGCAGTGGCGATCTAAGCACTTGTGTCTACAGTATTTACCAAATAAGGTACATTTAAATATTTACAACAATGACCAAGATGACACAACTAATATTTGTTGCTTATGTGTAAACTCATCCAAAATAATAGCTTGATATTTAATGTTCCGTTCTACGCTACGGCATGTAGGAGCTCATAACATATTATAAGATTTGTATGACTATTATACGGAGATTGGTTCACTTAATACATATATTGAGTCGATTTGCAGTCGTCTGTTTTAATTAGTTCAATCCATCACTTTTGAATGTTTCAACTCACGCAAGAAAAATAGTAAAGGTGTTATTGGTGTCAGTCAAGAAAGCCCAGAACTGCGTTACACTTATTTTTCTACTAGTAATCAAATGCATCAAACTGGCTAAAGCCTAGCAAATTCAAATAACCTGATGAGTTGGTTGAATTTATGTTTCAAACACGGAAAAATTTTGATTACTAAAACTAGAGACATAATAATTTACAGCGAAAACGATGGATTGCATTTTTATCGATGTTACACAATGAACGGAAATCAGCAACTTAAGTGAGACTTGTTGCAAATAAGTTATTCAGTCAACGGTGCTTTTATGGAGAAAAGCGCTTTACCGATTCAGGAAACTATTCTTGTGCAGTCACCACAGATCCAGCGAAAGTGTAATTACTAAGTGTATAATTGAAAACACGAATCATACCTAGTTGTCCTGGTCAGCACGAAACAAGCGCAACTGGAATGCAATACAACCGTAAATAGAAACACGCTATACAAATTGGTGTCTGGTATGTATTTCGAGGTCAGCCTACCTCACTCTCTCACTGTCTACTTTCAAATTTTCCGGGAGTACACACAACTTACAGAGAAAGATAATTCTTCTTAGTGTCCCCATAGCTTTTAATAGGAACTGGATATAGCATAGGCTAAATTAGTCATCATTCTAGTCTAATATAAAGATCAATATACCATTACCAATACATCAGTTACTGCATAGTCAAACGGAAGTGGAGCCGATGCAATCAAATAATTCACCTGACAAGCTATCCTGTAGAAATAATTCTTTACATGTGAAAGGACTGATATGTTCTCCGGCTGGGCAATTTTGTTGCAGATGTTTCATTGTCAAGCTAGGCAATATCATCAGCGCGGCTATTAAGGTCTGATTTGCAAAGCTTCGTAAGCCACTGCCAGATCCAAGTGAATATAGACCGTTTCATGCTTCGAATATCAGTCTTCGATTGGTTTACGTGGATCGGTCAAGTGGCCGTGTCTTCGCCCTGTCGACTTGGTAATTTTTAATGTCCTCACATACGAAACTTCGTAGAAAGCTCTAGTTCCAGATGCATGTTGATTGAGAACCAAATCAAATTCCAGACTTCGATGATCTCACACGTTTTGCGATCCTTCGCTCTTCCAAGCATCTTGACGTTTCCAGATCAAAATGATGGCTTTCATCATTCATATTTATTGATATTAATGACTTTTCATCATGGCGGCGGATTGCCAGACTGCGTTCATGCGATCAATCTTGCTCCCTCTCTGTCCCACGTAGTACTTGCCGCAATTTTTGCAGCAGTTTGTTTGAATCACACTAGATGTTTCTTCTGGTCCTTGACCAGCTGGTCCTTGACCTAAAATGATTTACTCTGAACGGTTTCTGTTATTTTATGTGCAACACTGATTTCATGAGTTATTAAAAGTCTCGCTGTCATTTCAGAAATCCCATGGATATAATGTAGGACGATGGTTTTCCTTTCTTGTGTGCTAGTAGAAGCGGGTTCTGGTTGATTCTTTGACACCGGACAGCCTAGAAGCCAATGTTTAACTTACGAATTCCGCTGGAACTTGTTAAGTAGGTTGACTTCCTCTGCCCTTAACAGTTGCAGTGTGCTATAGTTTGTTTGGGCCCATTTGAAAATTCTCCTGAAGCGACGGCTTTTGTAAATGGTCAGGTGGCTACTGCAATCGTTTATGATGTGATCTGTGTGCTTCGCTTTTTGATGGCCTGTTGTTTCCAAGGCCCCGGGTGCATGTCTTTTGAACAGCACGTCTAAGAATGGGAACTAGTCATTGTTCTCCTCCTATTTTTTAAATTGATATCCAGGGAAAAGAAAACTGATATGCTAATGTGTTTTTTAGTTTGGAGTGATTGATGATGACGAAGTATTGCTCAAGAAACATACTCAAATTTTGGTCTCTTCCAAATGCACTACCTTTGTTCCACTGCTTGCAACACTGCTTCGACTACCAGTCCAGAGATTGGTGAACCCATTGGCGTGCCAATTATCTCTTTTTACCTCTGGCTACTGCAAGTGAACTGTGTGGTGAGAGAGAAATCAGGCAACTACTTCTTTTGTGGGACTCTAATTTTGTTGTTCGTAGCTGCCGCCCCGTGGTTTTCAAGTAGGGTTATCGTTGTTTACCTTGTCAGTTTTATGCCAATTGATATGAATAAAGCTGTGACATTACAGAATATCGTCATCTCATCGCTTTCTATGGTTATTCCATTGAGTCGTTCAAGGAATTGATCTGCCTATTTGATTGAAGGCTCGGAGTCTACAGTTAGGTGTTTCAGCCGTTTCCAGAATTCTTTAGACATCTTGTAATGAAACGATAGGCCGAAGCGGTACTTCATTTTTGTTTCAATTGGGTAGATGGTAGTATCGTATTTCACTGAATCTTCAGGTTTCATTTCGCTGTGTCATAACTTTGTGACTGGTCCCAATTGTTCCAGTCTATGAAGTGCGCGTTTGATTTGGCATTCCAGACCTTTTGTGGAATCTTCACTAATCAGCTGGTAGGTGTTCAGAACTCTGGACAGTAATTTTGCCAGATTCCTGTTATCAGTTTTTTCCATAAACACCATGAAAAGTCACTGTCAGTACATATGAATGCCGAAAGTAGTCAGGTAGATCTGGGAAACGTCAAGATGCTTGGAAGAGCGACGAATCGCAACACAAGTGAGATCTTCGAAGTCTGGAATTTGATTTGGAACTCAGCAACTGGAACTAAAGCATCTCTACGAAGTTTCGTAGGTAAGGACAATAAAAAATACCAAGTCGACAGGGCAAAACGCGACCACTTGACCGATCCACGTAAACCAATCGAAGACTGATATTCAAAGCATGAAACGGTCTATATTCACTTGGATCTGGCAGTGGCTTACGAAGCTTTGCAAGTCAGACCCTTATAGCCGCACTGATGATGTTGCCTAGCTTGGCAATGAAACATCTGCAACAAACTTGCCCAGCCGGAGAACACTTCAACGCTCTCATCCTCACTTCGGCTGCAGGTGTTCTCAATTATTCGGTTGAGGCGAGTTTGCATATTGTAGAAGATAAATCTGCGTATATTATTTACTGCGTTGCGCTTACTATAACCCTTAACATTAGCTGACCTCATTTTTACGCAATTTACTGGAAATCATTTATATTAAAATAAATGTTCTGATTCATTCCCTTGTGAAATTCGATGGTTCGTGGCCTTAAACTTTGTTTCCTGCCTTCTCCAACGTACTTGGGAATTATACAATGATAACTTGCAATTTAATTAAACCGGTCACATTTCACATTTTGCGGTACCTGCGAAATTATGTTTTATTTTTTAAAACGGTAAACGTTTGACACCGATATGTAAACATGTGCCATTTACAATTTAGATGCAGTCCTTTAAAACCCAAGCGAAAATTAAGTCTAAGTCTTCTAATATTTCGTGATTAGGTGCTGATTTTAAGCTAACCAACATGTTATATACATACTGCATCTCTTTAAACTTTGCCAGCGATAACTGGTCTGTAATAAGCATGCTGTTTGCCTGTATTTACATTCGCCCCTTGGCCGCATAATACATTTTATTTCGCAAGTATTAATGCTTGTTTGGCGTTTCCCTGTGAACGCGGCACGACCGGTTTCTCCTTTTTATGAATTAAGTGCATATTGGCAGACACAGCTTAGAAGATCAGCGGTCGAATAGAACGGTGTATGGCATTCAACTATTTATTCTTACTAGCAAATTACGGGCCCCTTTATTTGATTCTTTAAAAACGCGTATTATCAGCTACTACCCCCGTATTTTTATTCGCAAATGTATACATGACTTCCAGCAAAATCGTGGGACTGATCAATACTGCCGTGTATTCCACTGTTTTTGTGAGCAAATTCAGAGTTGATCCCAGTCTTGACGCGATTACTACTCTGAGACGGAGTCATTTTTATGCATGTCACTGTTCAAGAGGTGGCCACGCGTCGCAGTCCAAACCAAATACAGTTCCACCTGCTATGGCGGTCACCCGTCTAAAGCGATCACTGGTCTATGGCGACCAGCCAAAAACATCCCCAAAGTTTTCCTTTTAAGTGTCATCGCTAGCACTAACCTTTCAAAGGCGACCACTTTCAGTCGGTCCCTTGAGTGGTCGCCTTAGACAGGTTTGTCTATATTTATTTATTTATATACGTTCCAGTAAATGGTTAAGCGATTGTGTTCCAAGATTTGAGGAGTTTTCGCCAGGCAAGCCTTCTCCCTATAAAAAGCCACAAATGTCGGCTTAACAACACTGCAACGTGGCGGATTTGACTCGCCACTAAAAAAGCTCGTTGCCCCTTGTTTCACACTAGTGGAGCATTGTATTCCAGCTGCCGGATGCTGTCGTTCTGGGGGATTTAGGCCCGTGTTTGGTATTAAAGCAAACGAAAGGCGTGTGAACGGAGTAATCGGTCACCGGCTCCCAATGGACGCGATTTCCTGAATTCATCTCGCTGTCTTGCGGGTAGGCTATTGAACCAAAGGCTTGGGGTGGCGGCACCCTAAGTCAATTCCCTAATTTGGCCTAGGCAACCGGGTAGTATCTTGCCTACTGATGAAGCATGGAAGTGAGCTGCCATCTTTACTTTTCTGATGTTTTGCTTATGCTACTACTGCAAACACACCCAGTACATGCCACTCACTTCTCAACTCTCCCCTGTATCAATTATTCCAAAATCAAAAATGAACAGCAATGCGTCTCCCGATTTCACCGTTGCCGCTCCATCCTCTGACATAATCATGTAGCGCCAAACCGGGATTGAACAGTCCCGCATTCTCCCCTCCTCTTCTGCAACCGGAGACACAGTTCAACTAGGCGATGTTCAATGTGTGCACCTTACAACAGATTGGGCAACAAGCATGTCTCGCGTGCACTAACAACTTGAAATTATTGCCCCTTATTTGTCTGAAACACGACTTCAGGATTCCAGAACAGTTTCCACTTCGCCGTCACCAATTCACCCTTATACTCCTTTTCATCTTCGACTTGCTGGAGTCTCCGAGGCTACCGCTTCTGGGCAAGCTGGTGTTGGGGTCACCCTTAGCGCCAGGGCCGAAGCCACCCATCTCCAGTGCATTCCGATCAATAGGCGCCTTTGTTCTATCAGGCTCCATGGCTCGCGCATGGTTAACAGGCGTCGAGAAGATAAACGTGCTCTTTTTGTAATCTCCGCCTATGCTTCCACTGACTGTAGCCCGGATACCGTTAAGGACCAGTTCTATCAGAACCTGCAAGATTTGCTCTTGAGGGCCTCCAAAATGGACATCATTAGTATGGCGGGGATGTCAACTCGCGTTTTGGTCGTTAGTTGCCAAGCGAACGCCGTCTTAGAGGCAGGCATGGATCCAACGACGTTTACTCAGACAATGGAGAAAAACTGCTCAGTTTGTGTGCCGTCCACCAACTTTATCTCGCTAGCACGAACTTTTGCCACCCTAGGCGTCACTATGCTACCTGGCATGTTTCAGCATCCTCTCAAGATCGGTCACAGATTGACCACATCACCATAAGTCATCAATGGCATGGCAGAACTCGGGACTGCAGCTCTTATTGGTCAGCATGCCTGGAGCCTTATCATGCGCTAGTACACGCGTCGGTTGGCATGTGTTTCGGTGGCTCGTCTATGACTAGACAAACTCGACTTAAGTTTGGTAAACTGGAAAACCTCGCTGTTCAATTGGAATATCAAAAGCAGCTTCGTCAGAACCACACTCCTTCGCCTCCTCGGAACGTTGGTCAGCATTAGTCGCGATTTTAACAGATTATGTTTTCAGCGGGTTTATCCAGTTGCGGTCTTTTTCGTTGCACATCTATAAGTTGGATTTCGGTCACCAACTCGGAACATTTAGACAAACGGCGTGCTATATCCGTGAGTGTAGAGCACGCTGAGCTCCGCAGCACTATTTCAAGCCAACTGAAAGCGGGTCTTTACCGTGACCGTGGATCCTGATTGTCTAAACAGGCCAAGAAAATGAAAGTTGTTGCCTTTGATGGCAGGCATTATTTGCAAAGCTAAACATTAAAAGTTTTAAGTAAGTGCAAAGGTTTACCAGGAGTTTGGGAAATATAGACCTGCCAAACACCTTACTTTGCAGGCAATTCTAACAGCATGTTTACATTATGGAATCTATAGCTATCACCATGATGATTAATGGAAGCTAACTTATTTAGCATTGTGTGCATAGGTGTTTGAGCGAAACAATATCCATCTGCGCTTTGATATCCATTATTTTTTAATTGGGTAGATTAGTCATAAAGTACTAACACATAGTCTTGCATTATTTTGCAAAACAGCATATAACTGGTTCGAATCTTCAGCTGTTTCATTTACATAACGAGTTGATAAATTTGTTCTTTTATAATACTTGAACTCCGTTACTGTCGCAACGATGCTGCCATTCTCGCAGCAGTTAACCTAGACACGGTTATTAAAGTAGTAAAATTCCATATTGTCCGTTGCTAAGTAATTTCTGTACCACTGACTAATATTTTCACAAATTTTATGTGATTCCACTCCGTACTTTGTCGGGTAGATTACATGGACGGTAGTCTAATTAACTACCATTGAAATAAGTGCATAAAACACAACTGGATCTTTGGTGTGAAGAAAATGTGTGCCTTTCATTGATTTCACTGAACTGATGAACCATGCTCCGCACCCTGCTCCCACAAAAAGAAAAAAGCCCACTCCCTAACACTGCTACATCGTTCACAATATTTCCCTTAAGCCTAAGGCCCAGCAGAGCATGGAAACCTTTGGTTCCCGGTGAGAGGGAACAGAGACAAATTGCGGTTTTTCGTCCGGTAGTGTGACACTGCAAACATATAAATGCAACTACAACCAGTTGTTGAAAACCCCCGTTTGTATTTTCGAACTGGATGGCGCATGTAAAGAAAGTGGAGTGCTACTTTTTTGACAATGCTTCTGCTGGTGTAGAAGTTCCAAGATAAGAGATATCAGCCAAGTTATTGCTTGCCGCAGCTTATAATTTCACACGGCGTTTGTTGTGTGTGTGAAAAAATTGTGTGCTTTGCTGAATTTAACTGGTAAATATGTATGATGCATCACCGGAAGAATGGCGTAAGTGGTATTAAGGTAAAAAGTAGAGGTCACTCGTGCGCTGTACTATACGCAAATATTGGGCATAAATAAGCTAGAAAAATAAAATCGAGTATAAAATTATCTGATTGAAGTTAAAGTGCCGAAGAAGATTCCATGCGTGATAACGCATCTTAATGGTATTTACCTTGTACATAGGAGTTTGTAACTTCAGCAGGTGGGCCACTGCCGCTGAGGGTAAATAATTGAACATAATAGCGCAAAAAGACAAATACATACCACGTAGCAACATCTTATTACTGATTCAAAGCAGAGTACAAGCTGGTTTGTTTGAAAGACAGTTTCATAGCTGAAGTCGACGTGGATTTTAGATGGAATTTTGATGATTTTACACGCTTTTAAAAGAAATAGGAAGGACATACGCTGAATCCGAAGGTTGCACTTTAGTAGCATGACAAGAGGTTTGATCATCCTTTCAATCTGGTTAACCAATATAATCCTTCAGTTTGATATTTGTTTTGTCCGATATAAGAGATTGCTAAGAACAAATTTCAGAACTGAGATAGGTTTAGCCATGTTTCTTCTGACTTGATTGAACACACGAGATCTCCTGATCTTCAGTTTACGCCTCCAACAAGACGCAATTGTGGATGAGATGTGTGCACCGGAAGGTTAACAAGGCCAATACGAACAATGTACAAAATGATCGAAGTGTTTTATTGTTGAGCAGTAAACTGAAAATTCATTTTGTGCAGCTTGAAGCTAATGGGAGTTTAATTTGAGAATATTGCGTATTTATTAACTATTTGTGTACTCACATACAACTTAAATCTATCAGCCATGTTAGTGAGGATTTTATAACTAGGAGTTTGTATGTAACGTAGAGGAGATAACAAGACAAATGTTAAACTAACGGTAAGAAATTCCGCGCAGTTCAACATACGAATTATGACATCCATTAGCAAATCTTTGGCATCATATTCTCTAAAGCTGTAGCTCAGTGGAAATGGCAGAACTAGACTTGATAACAAAATTTCCATCTTGATTTGAAAATAAAAGTTATCTATTGTTATTTACGGAGTAAAACGTTTGCTTAAGCTAGCCGAAGCAAGAAGGCACTTACTTTGTTTACAAGTTCAATTTTCGCAATTATTTACTATCTTTTCAAATAGGCCATCTATTCCATGTTGGGAGCAGAGAACAGCGCAACCGATTTGAGTCCAGAGGCTCGAGCAGAAGAAATTTTTGAGAAAATGGATGAAAATGGTGATGGGGTTCTCACAAGAGAAGAGTTCATGAAAGGATGCATGCAGGATAGCCAGCTGAAGGCAATGCTTTTAGCCGATGAACCTGTGGAATAGACTGAACTCAGAATGCGACCAAATCCAAAATAATGGACGCAGTAAAACAAGTCATTACTTATTGCGTTATTTCTGCTGATTAAATTCAATTGGTGGTGTTAAACCTCTCTGAAACTCCGGGAAAATGTACATTTATCCATTTGCAATATAATTGCTCTATTTCCATGCAAAAACAAACACGGCCCTTGTGGTATCTTATAAGTTTCTCTATTTTTCTGGAGACTTCTACCTACTACACAGGACCTGAAAATGTTCTTCTAATATGCTCAATCTTATGCTGGCAATACAAGCAAAATGTATATAAGCAAATATATCATATAATACCTACGCATGTTTACATTTTTTCCTACTAATAATTAAACTGTTCCGTACTATTTTCCCTAAAGGTGGGCATTGTTACTGGTAAGAGCTTGAAGTGGATGTCATCATTTTGATTCGTTTGCTGTTATGAATCATGGTGATTTGTGTTGCACTGCATAATAGGTTCGAAGAAAATGTGCACTGAAAATATACGGAGGATGAGCCACAGTACAGTGGATCTGCCACTTTGATGTTTAGGACCAAAAGACAAACTATCTCAAAGATACAATGAAGTATGAAATCCCTGGTCAGTAGTGCGAAACAGTATTCCAACGAGAACAGCAAGGTCAGAATTTAAAGGCCACACCACTCAGATGCGCCTGCTAGGAGTTACAACACATCTGACATTACATTTACTTAAGATCTGTAACATGCAAGCAAGTTCGTATTCCTTTACTTTAAAGACGGCGATAATTGAGTGGTTCAGTACAAATAGTAACTACGGCTAAACAACACGGAACCTGCAACAAAAGCTGTAGCTTCTAGTTATATTGACAGGAATTTGTTCCGAAACACCAATTGCAACATCAGTTAACTTTTCCTTTTCTTCGCTTGATCGTAAAGTCCGACAGACTTGTTTAGTGGCAAAATGAGCTGCAACTGCGTTTAGTGAGTACGCGCTATCATCACCCGTCATTAGGATGGAGTCGTGAACTTCATTAACTTAGGCTCAAGTTTCAATGTACATCGGACTTGACACTCTTATTTAAGCGTATGCTGGTAATTGAAAAATTTTATAGTTTTTTATTGAACAACGAACTATCAATTAGGCTCATATGGCTCTGAATAGTATTAAAAACTTCCCATATTTATTGGACTTATACGGTGCTATGCTATCTGCTCAGATCGGTATACTGGTGTTTTAGATCACCAAGATGGAGGCTAGTTGCGAGAGTATATGCATTGAATTTGCACATTCCACAGTAACAGAATCAATAAGTATACCAGTTGATATTTATTTCCAATACCAGTACATGCCGTTTTAAGCAGACTTCACTGCTGTAAACTTAGTAGCAAAAATTTTGCGACTAAGGTTATACCAGCATCAAAATCGAAACGAACCCAAATGAATAATTCAGTCCAGCTCAGTCATGACGCTATTGATCTCCATGCACACATGTTTAGTATTTCCAAGCCATATTTTGACAAGCACTGCTGCGCCGACTGTGGAGAACGGTTATTGTACACTGCTATAAAAAGCGGTCAATTCACGAGGTCATGCGCTATCTACCAAAATAGCACAATGCGGTTATCTTCAAATTTATGGAGAGGATAAAAGTTATTGAGACCCTATTCACAAAATTCAACATGCTTGTATGCAGCCTCGGTCAAGTGCAAAATGTCAGCTGGATTTCTGTAGCCACTTAACAATGTATATCGATGCATGTTGGTCCGTTTTATGGATATATCTTGTTCTTTCAAATGCCACATTTGCGGTTGCTAAACTAAATACCATTTGCTAATAGCAAATGTACAATCGTTATATTTTGACATCCATCTTACCTCTCAGATAGAAACTAATTAGCGCAAATGCGTGATCAACTCCCACGGACTTTAGCAAAATAAGTCAAGTAAACGTCATGACAATTTAATAATTACAATTATTAACGCTATTAAATTACTTAGCAGCACCAAAACATGAACAGTGCTATGCTTGATAATGACATTAGAGTCATTTACTCACAATGAAATACTGAAATGCATGAGACTACGTGGCACAAACGGCAAAACGTATTGTTTCCAGAAACATGTTGTCACGCATGCCAGATGTAATTTGCCGTTAAAAAATGTACTATCAGCATGAATTGTGTGATACCGCTAAATATGCTAGTTCCTATGAGAGATATATCCCAAAATATAGCCCATCCACCATTTGGCTCTCTGATATTCAGTTTAGCGTAAAATAGTCAAACAATGCGAATTTTAGAGACTAAAGCAATGAAGGACTTTAGAATTTTGTTTAGAACATGTCAGTCGAACGTGTTTAGGCTGCTATTAACAAGTCATATATCTCAACGGGGATCGAGTGCTACCCGTCCATGCTTACTTATATGCGTGTCATATGAATTACTGCCTGAGTGATTCCGAAGGCGTTTGTTCGAAAATCTATCCATATATTCTTCAGAAGTTATTTATACTGAGGGCTGCATTAACCCTGAAGTTGGTTTAATCTGGAGGCACAAATTGCGCTCTTAACTTCAAATGATGTAGCACTACACTCATAACGAGTTGAATGTGTATATTTCACGACATAAGATGTACCAGTACGCGAAACTGTATTTGATTTACTTTCTCAAACACATAAAATTAATGAGCGAAACATTTTTCTAATTGAATAATAAATGTTTAAAATAACTTACTAGAAGATGTCAGAAATTCCTGCGACTTTTAAAATTTATACCGTCGATAAGAGCATAACTTACAGCACGGGTGGAAATCAATTCGGACAAAGAAAGGCAAACACAATTTTGTATTCTACAACGGTACTGGGGTTTTATATTAGCATGTGTTCGATGTAATCGCATTTTTACTACAGGAGGCGACATAACATTTTTGGATTTTTCACTGGAGCACGGTATAATTGCACTGAGACCTAATGTTATTATAAAGCTGAATATAAAGGCAGTCAGGTTGTTGGTTTACTTTCCGCTTTACCCTTACTTAATACGCTTACTCGGCTATTTTCTAATGCAAGCTTTTAAATATACAGTTGATTGGAAAAGGTAAATCCAACTAATTTTAAGCTCTTATATCACCGCCACCTTTTAAATTGTTGTCATTCGGTAATGATAGGCTTGAGGGAATAATGTCATGATGACAGCTGAAAAGGATAAGATAGCTAGTTTCACATCCTGGTACTTTGTGCCTTACTCTGTGCCTAATATTGTTGGTTCATCTATCGCTTTCAACACATAAGATCTTTTCATATGTGGACCTCGCGTTCTTACTGACAGAAGGAAGCTGAGCTTTGTCTAAGCTCATACGAGATCAACTAAAAGAGTTGGTCAAATTAACGTATTTATTTTACTGCCAGCGTAGTAATGTGTTTGAAATGTACATTATTTGCTTTCTGTCTGAAAATCTGCCACTTCCCCTATGGAGTTTACCATAGATGATATCTGTGTAAGCATCAGAAATATAAGGGTACGTATTAGTTTCAGAGGGTGCAAGTAAGCCTGAGTTAGTAGTATAAAACCCAGTGCAAATTTGGGTATTCATTCTCCATTCCGCCGACTAACTCATGCTTGTTACCCTTTGCCTTCCAACAAATCCACCTATTCAAATGCAAGCGAAACAATATATTCATTATTTTTAATTTGACCATGCATGAAAGCAGTCCACCATTTAACTGAAAGAAATGCTATTCTTTATTTATTGCTTCCAGTGTGTACTTGTTTGGTAGGATATGCATGAGGTGATTTAAACAATAATTGCCGGGTACCCAAGCTACCATTCCGTGATAATGTTACTAGCACACCGTTCGGCTGCAACTTACCAACTGCTCTTTCAAATCAGTTAAACTGCTAGTATTTGCCTCACCATCACTTATTGCGGTTGGTCTGATTGTGCTCATGGTAGGCCGTGTGTGTGTGGGGGGGTGCTTAATCATGTTTCATAAGATGAACTGCATTACCATTCTGTCTTTAACCGATCGTTCCATTAATGCCGTTCCAATAGTGACTAGTCGCGCGATAGTTTGTGATAATTTGTTTGCGTCTCATTTTGGTCTAGATCTGGCCAGTACAAGTTTCATTTTACATCGGAAACGTGCCAGAAACCATGGACGTGCTGCACATGTTTAAAAGATACCGGAGGTCTGTCTAGGCCACAATGTTTTAACTGGAATGTTGATAGGTCATCCAGATCTGGAAAAATGTCTGCTGTTTGTCAGGCTATATAATGTCTAATAACTTTTCAATCGAACTTAACTATACTCATGACGGAAACGTTAGTATGCAAATTCCGTAAGAGTGAGTATGATACCAGTTTTGTACAGGTATCCCAGGTGGATTTGTCCGTCAAATTGCTGAGGAAACTCTGTTCAGTTGGATATTATTCCGGGTAAGCATCACTTCAACTATGTCTCTGAATGTGTGTTTGGATTCCAGAGTAATTTCCGTGCGCTTTAGGCTGAAGTTCAACGTGGAGTCCGTTGTATTTGGCTATCGAGGAACTAGATTCTGTATATTTATTATAGACAGGTGTTGCACTAATTTCATTAACAAGCCGTATACACGCCGTATTCACACGGTGGCTTTCTTACTCAATCTTTGCCTGATTAAATGGGGCAGGTCTAGAATTCGTTTTTCGTTTTTATGTAATAAGGCTTCCGCAATACGTGATAATTGAGTGGAAGTAGCTAGTCCCCTTCCGTTAAGCATATAATATCCTTATATTGCTGCGGGAAGCTAAGTACTCGGATTGATATTACTGGAAACACAAAACCCAGAACTAACCGGAAGTAGAGACAGTACGTTTATATGGGTGTTACATATAACTTGAGTACATATTAGACCATGGTTGTAATTGTCAGTTGTTAGTTTTCAAATGTCCTGTTTCCATCGCGATCTCTGGATTTAAGTAATGATGCTCATTTGCAAAGCGAGAGCAGAAGACATGATCCAAGAGATATTTGGTAAATTAAGGTTACCACAATGAAGTTGTGACTAAAATGTTGATCCGTGTCCCATTGTAAAGCAGAAAAGATCTGTTTTATAAGATGAGCATCAGATTGCTGTGAGACATCACGAGGGTGATGGTTCTTGGTTACATTCAATTAGACACAGAGACATTCGTAAACGCTGTTTAGTTAGGACCATGATCTCTTATTGCTAAGGAATTGTTTTATTACACATATATGAGGCGCTCCTAACATTGACACACACCGGTTAATCACGAATTTTGTGTAGCCCATTGTGTGATAGTAACCA